TCCAGGAGGGCCCGAAGAGGCCCAAATCCTTGATTTTCCATAGGTTTTTGAAGGATGTTGGCATTCGCTTCTTCTCGGCTTTCCGACGACCCAAGACGGCCCAAGAGGCCCCCAAGATCGCCCCCACAGCGCCCAAGAGGCCTCCAAGATGGCCTCAGGACTGCCCAAGAGGCCCCCGAGACGGCCCCAAGAGGGCACAAAGACGACCCAAGAGGCCTCCAAGACGCCCAAGATGGTCCCAAAGACGGCCCTGGAGCACCCCAAGAGGGCCCCAAGTCGGGCCAAAGAGGCCCCCCAAACGGCTTCCGACGGCGTCAGACGGGCCAGGAGCCTACCAAGATAGCCGAAGTTGGCTCGAAGCTGGCCCGAGACGGCCCAAGAGGCCTCCAAGAGGGCCTCCAGGAAGGCCCAAAAAGGCCCAAAGCACTGACTTTCTATTGGTTTTTGAAGGATTCTGACATTTGCTTCGTTTCGGTCTATACGGCCTGAGAGCCCCCAAAGATCGCCCAAGGATCGCCCGAGAGGCCTCCAAGATGGCCCCTAGAAGGCCCCAAGAGGCCCAAGACGGCCCAGGAGGCTTTGAAGACGCCCAAGATGGCCTCCAAGACGGCCCTAGAGCATTCCAAGAGGACCCCGAGTCGGCTCAGAGAGGCCCCCCAAACGGCTTTCGACGGCGTCGGACGGGACAGGGGCCCACCAAGACGGCCGAAGATGGCACTAAGCTGGTCCAAGACGGCCCAAGAGGCCTCCAAGAGGGCCTCCAGGAAGGCCCGAAAAGGCCCAAAGCATTGATTTCCCATGCATTTGTTTTTTTTCTGCCTTCCGACGGCCCGAGACTGCACAAAAGCCCCCAAAGATCGCCCAAGAGGCCCAAGACGGCCCCAAGAGGCCCCCAAGACGGCCCAAGAGGCCTCCAAGACGCTCAAGATGGTCCCCAAGACGGCCCAAGAGCCCTCCAAGACGTCTTCCAAGAAGGCCCGAAAGGGTCAAAATGGCCTCCAGGCGACCAAGATGACCTTCACGATGCCCACGTGTTCCCCGAAGGCTTTCCAAACCGATTCGGGGAACACATGGTCCGATAGCCTGGCAGGTCTGGCCTCAACGTTCGGCCACATAGGCGCTTCCAAAAAGGCAAGGGGCGGCGGTGATTCGCCGTAGGCGTCTTCGATCCCCCGCCCCCTGTTGGCGTGCCACAAGGGTGCCTGGCGTGCTGAGGTTCATGAGTTTTTTGGTTTTAGAACTCCCCCTAGGGCTTCGGCCCGGCGCGTCGGCCACCCGGAACGCTGCTCCAGATGTGGTTGCAAAGATTCTCCAGATAGCTCCAAGATGGGCTCCAAGACGGCCAAGGTGGCCTCCAACTTCACCCAAGATGGTCCCAGATGGCCTCCAAGACGGCACAAGAGGGTCCAGGACGCCTCCAAGTTCGCCCAAGAAGCCACTAAGACAGTCCAAGATGGCTCTAAGATTGCCCAAGAGACCCTAAAGAGGCCCTACAGAGGCCCCCAAGAGGCCTTCAAGGCAGCCCAAGAGGCCTCCAGAAGGGCCTTCAGGAGGGCCCGAAGAAGCCAAATGCATTAGTTCTTTGTTCGCAGGATGTTGATGGATTCTTTTCGGCCTTCCGACGGCCCGAGACGGCCCAGGAGCCCCCAAAGATCGCCCAAGAGGCCCCGAACAAGCCCCCAGAGGACCTCAAGAGGCCCAAGGAAACCCCATAGAGGCCCAAGAAAGCCCCATATAGGCCTCTTGGAGCCCAGGACGCTCCTTGGAGACCTCAAGAGTGCCACAAGAGGCTTCCAAGAGGCGTCTTCTTCCACCTCCTCCTTCTCCTCCTCCTTCTCCTCCTTCTTCTCCTCCTCCTCCTCGTACTTCCTCTTCCCTCCTCCTCATTACCTTCTTTCTCACTTGTCTCCCGAAAGGTTCCAGCGACGGCTGGGGGAACACATGGCCCGACAGCTCTAGCCTAGGCGCTTCCAAAAAAGCAGGGGGCGGCGGTGATTCGACGTAGGCGTCTTCGATCCGCCGCCCCCTTTGCTTGCCACAAGGGTGCACGGCGTACCAAATTCTTTAAGGTTTCTAAAACTTCGGCCAATTCCGCCGACACGGAATGAAACCTGTGAACTTCCAAGGTCGCCGGTCTTCCCGCATCATACAATCCCGTAAAGTTCCCAGTTCATCAGTCTTCCCGCTCCAGACGGCTCCAAGATGGCCTCCAAGACGAACCCCAAGAGAACCCGAGATGGCCTCAAGATGTCTCCTAGACGGCCGGAGATGCATCCAGGACAGCACAAGATGGGCCCAAGGTGGCCCGAGACGGCCCAAGAGCCCGCAAGAGGCCTCCGAGAGAACCTCCAGGAAAACCCGACGAGATCTGTCCTCCTCCTCTTCTTTCTACCCCAGGTATTCCCAGGAGCGTTTCCACAACGGCTGGGGGACTACAGAGTCCAATAACGTGGCCGAGCTCTGGCAACAACGTTCGGCCACGTAGGCGCTTCCAAAAGGGAGGGGGCGGCGGTGATTCGCCGTAGGCGTCTTCGATCCGCCACCCCCTGTGCCTTGCCAGACGTATTCAAGGCGTACGAACTTTTAGGTAGTTGTTTTTTCCCAACCATCATTTGGTGTTGGGTACTCGTTTTGAACAGACAGCGCCCCGCGTTCCTCCTCCTCCTTCTTCTTCTCCTCCCCCCTTTGCCTCTGCCCTCTGCATGTCCACCAATTCAGCGCACCCAGTAAAACGCTTCGTGGCCCCATGGGGAGCTCCACCGAAGGCTCCAGTGGCTGTGACCACAGGCGTCTCGCGCCACCCACTACGGCGCTTCGTGGCCCCCTATGGAGCTCCACCGAAGGGCCCAGCGGCTGTGACCACAGGCGTCCCGCGCCACGCAGTACGGCACTTCGTGGCCCAATAGGAGCTCCACCGAAGGCCCCAGTAGCTGTGACCACATGCGCCCAGCGCCACCGAGTACGGCGTTTCGTGGCCCCACAGGGAGCTCCACCGATGGCCCCAGCGGCTGTGAACACATGCGCCCGCGCCGCCCAGTACAGCGCTCCGTGGCCCCAAAGGGAGCTCCACCGACAGCCCCAGTGGCCGTGACCACATGCGTCCGCACCACGCAGTACAGCGTTTCGTGGTAGCCCCATAGGGAGCTCCACCGATGGCCCCAGATGCTGTGACCACATGCGTCCGCGCAGCCCAGGACAACGCTTCGCGGCCCTATAGAGAGCTCCACCGATGGCCCCAGTGGCTGTGACCACATGCGTCCGCGCCGCCCAGAACAAAGCTTCGAGGCTCCATAGGGAGCTCCAAAGAGAACCCCCATGGCTGTGACCACATGCGTCCGACGGCGTTTCGTGGCCCCACAGGGAGCTCACCGATGGCCCCAGTGGCTGTGACCACATGCGTTCGCGCCGCCCAGAACAACAGTTCGTGGCCCCTAGAGGGAGCTCCATAGAAAGCCCCACTGGCTGTGACCACATGCGCCCGCGCCACATAGTACAGCGCTTCGAGGCCCCATGGGGAGCTCCACCGAAATCCCCAGCGGCTGTGACCACATGCGTCCGCGCCACCCAATACAGCGTTTCGTGGCCACGAAGGAAGATCCAGAGGTAATTCCATCGAAAACGAGACTTACAACTGCGACATTCACACGTGCACATGGTTGGGTCTTTCGCCTGGACGCCCTTCGGCCCTCCGCTGGCCACACGGAAGGACCCCTAAGGATATACAGGAAGAGGAAAACAATCATCTCCGCGATCCTCAAGAGAGCTCCAGCTGGCACCAGTGAGCGTGACTCCGAGACGGCCGAGATACACTCAAGATGGCCGAAGATGGACCACATATTGCCCAAGTTGCCCCCCAAGACGCCCCAAGAGGGTTCCAAGATGACCTCTAGGATGCACAAATCAATTACTTGTTACACTTATCCGCGCCGAATTTCAGGTAGTTGTCGGTCCTTTTGAACATGTCTCATGGGCCTTCTGTCGATTCCGCAAACACAGAAGGACCCGGAATCTTCCCAGGTCTTCGGTCTTCCTGCTCCAGGCGGTCCCAGGATGGTCTCCAAGACTGCCAAGATGATCTCCAAGACGGCGACCATGGCCCCAAGAAAACCCAAGCTGGCCTCAAGGTGTCTCCAAGACGGCCCAAAATGCGCCCAGGACGGCCCAAGATGGGCCCACGATGGCCCGAGACGGCCCAGCAGGCCCTAAGCGGGTCTCCAGAGGCTTTTTCTTATTTGCAAAACAAAAAAGCGTCATAAGCATAAACTTTTGGCGCTCCGCGCGGATTCCTTGGATCTGCGCTGGACCACCCTCCCTGGCGCGCTCCGCGCGCCAGGGGCAGCGCCGGAGGCGCCGACGGGGGGCTTCAAGAAGGCCACACGACGGCTCAGAGAGGCCTCCAAGAGGTGTTTCCAGGAAGGCGCGAAGCAGCCTAAATCATTGATCTTCCTAAGGTGTTTGACTGATTTGACATTTTCTTGTTTCTGACTTCCGACGGCCCCAGACGGCCTAAGAGGCTAAGACTCCTCCAAGATGGCCCCACGACTGCCCAAGAGGCCCCCAAGACGGCCCCAAGACGGCCCAAGAGGCCTCAAACACACCCAAGATAGCATTCAAGACGACCCTGGAGCGCCTCAAGAAGGCCCCAAGGCGGCCGAGAGAGGCCCCCCAAAACTGCTTCCGACAGCGTCAGACGGGCAAGGAAGGTCCTAAGACGGCAAAGGAGGCCCCCAAGGAACCTCCAAAGGCCCCCCCGAAGGCGCAAGGAGGCCCCCCAAAGGCCTCCAGGAGGCCCCCAGGGATCTCCCAAGAGGCGCCGAGAGTGCCCCAATGGGCTCCCCAAAAGGCAAATCCTCCTCCTCCTCCTCCTCCGACTCCGAATCCTCCTCCCTCCCCTGATGCTCTCCCTCATCCTACCCCAAATGTTCCCGAAGGTCTTGTACTAATTACGGCCAGGGAAACAAATAATCCGACAGCATGTCCACTCTTTGGCCACAATTTTCGGCCACACCGGCGCTTCCAGCATGCGGAGGGCGGCGGTGATTCGCCGCAAGCGTCTTGATCGACAATCTCGACTTCGCCGTAGCATGCTGCTTCCGAGAGGGGTGTGTTTCCATCATGGTCCTCAACATCAATAGCCATCGGCGGTGGTGAAGGGGTGCCTTCCTCCAGAATCATACATTTGTCCACAAATCTGCGCACCTTGCCCAGATCTCCATCGCCCACTGCATCAAACAACGCCTCAATCTCCTTCTTTAGCTGCTGCCGCGCCTCGTACGCGTCCGCAAAAGCCTCATTTTCTGTGTTGTGCTGCTCGATGGCCGCGTCCTTCCTCGTTCGCAACTCATCGGCCGCCTTCTTGAGCTCCGCCTCGAAGGCACGGACCTCCTCCAACCGCGCCTCCGCGAGCGCCACCAGCTTCCCATCAACACCGTCCGTCACCCGCGCCTCGCTGACGGCGATGTCGAGGACACGGCCGTCGACTCTTGCGATCTCGGTCTCCTCGAGGCAAAGACGCAGCATTCGCTCCGCTTTCGCCACCTTCGGGTCGTCATCCGCCACGGCAGCACCCGACCGAGACTGCCGCACCGCGGCGGCGGCGGAGCCCGCAGCGGGCGAGCGGGGCCCCTCCTTGGCCTTGGCCTTGGCCTTGGCGGCCGCAGGGGCCGCCTTGGCCGAGGCCGCCTTGGAGGCCGCCTTCGCCTTCGTCGCCTTGGGCGCCATCGGCCGGCGGGGATCCGCACGGGTCCCGGCCGCGCCCTGCTTTGTTGGTGAGGCGCCGGGCCAGGGCCGAAGAACGAGAGGCGGCACGATGCAGAGACCTCCGGAGGTGCGCGCGGCTTCCTCGGGTCGGCGCTGGACCCCCCTCCCCTCGGTGCGCGTGGCGCGACAGGGGCGGCGTCCGTCGCCGCCAGTGGGGTCCAGCGCCGACCAAAGAGATCCGCGCGGATCTTCGGCAGTTTTGATTGCGCCGTACTTTTGTCCTTCGGCTTGAGTCAAGACGGCTCGAGACAGAGCAAAAGTGGCCACGAGGGAGCCCTCAGGAGAATCTCTCAAGACATCGCTGAAGCCACGTGGCCGATCCTGAAAACTCTCAGGCCAGTCTTTTTGAAAGCTCATTCTGACACACACACACACACACCGCCTCGGCTTGGTGGCCTTTAGGGGCAGTTAGCGGCCCCCCAGTTAGTGCATCACTAGTGCCCAATAATGGCCTTTAGTGACCTTTTAGCTGCCTTTAGTGGCACCTGGCGGCCTTTCGCGGCCTTTAGGTGGCCATCGAGGGCCTCTCGTAGCCCCTACAAGTGTGCAACAAATCGGCATGTATGTCAAAAGGAGCTTACAAAAACACTCACTGAATAAACTCGAGCCCCTAAACGCTTACTCTTGTTAGGAGGAGGGAAGCTGGGGAGCGCACGACCACTGAATCCCACTGCGACGTGATCAGCCCAGTGACGTGAAGCAGACGATCGCCAAGCAAATTGGGGTCGCTGTACAATCCGACCTGCCATAGGCAAGCCCATGCGATAAACTGTAGCCTGTACAGTCGGACCTAGGGCAGAAAAACATCTTTCAAGGACATGGGACCCTCCCCTGGCCCAAACACACACACAGAACATGCACGGGAACCCTCCCCAGGATGCACGAAGAACACCAGGGCACCCTCCCCGAACCGACCTCGGCCTTGTACCTCGGTCCGACTGCAGCCCGAGCCCCACCATGCGGCGGTCGCCTCATCGCCAGTTCCGCTGAGCTGCCGCCGAGCCGCCGCGGGCGGTGCCCCCCGCCGCCGTCCTGCTGCGCCCGCCCGTGCCCTTTGCCCTCCGGCGCGCGCGCGGGCCCGACGGCGAGGGCGCCGCAGGGCGTCTGCATCCACGGCTGCAGGAGCCCTGCCCCGAGACCCCCAGAGGGGGGTCTTCGCCGGGAGCGCGAGCAAAAATCAGCGCCGCAAGCTTCTGGCCGTTCTCGGCCTCGGGGGGTCCCTGGCCGGGCCGGGCCGGGGGACCGTCAAAAGACGGCTCGGGACGAGACACGCCGCTCCCAGGGAGTGGGTCGAGACCCTAAAAGGGGTCGACGGCAGCTGCGGGCGTGGATGGTCCCCCCCGCCCTCGCAGGTATGCTGCTTTGGGTTGCAGTACTTTCCTGTTCCAGGGTTCTCCGAGAGGCCAGCAAGGGCGGCGGTGAAGGGGGCGAGACGGGCCCGCTCGCTGGTCCTCCAGCCTCGCTGCAGCATCGCGAGGCGTCCTGTTCTGCCACGACGTGGCTGGAGAGCTTCGGACACCGGGAAAGCTTCGGGCGCCTCGGGTCGGATGGGTGTACCGCCGCCCGGAGCCTCGAGCTGGGCACGGTCTCACAGGACCATGCCAGGCGAGGCGCCGGGGGGCCCGAGGTCCCTCCTGGAAGGTCGCCTCGAGGTCCTGGGGTCCGACTCCGAGGGCGGTGGATATGGCGTGGGCATTGGAGAAGGAACCATGGGATAAGGAATCCAGGGTCTGGGAGATGGTGTTGGCGGCGCACACAGCACAAGGGGGCCGGGGCAGGGGGGAAGGCTTCTGAGAAGGAGGCTGCTTCTCACAAGGCGCCGGCCCTACATCTACAGACCAGGCCCGCGCCTTCTGAGAAGCAGGGGGGCTTCTTAGAGACCTTCGCCCCTCCCCCGGCCCCCCTCTGCGCGTGGCTGATGGTGGAACTCCAGTCGTGGGTTGGCCATGGACGGCATTGCTGCCCTCGTCAGGTAAGGACACCCCCCAGGGTGTGAAGCCTCCTGGCCAGACTCAGGAGGAGGAGGAGGAGGAGGAGGAGGAGGAGGAGAAGGAGGAGGAGGAGGAGGAGGAGGAGGAGGAAGAGGAGGAGGAGGAGAGGAGAAGAAATTCAGGGGGGGGGAAATCGGAACCTCCTCCTCCTCCTCCTCCTCCTCCTCCTCCAGATTGGACCAGCGCCCCGGCCGTCTGGCTTGCGGGCGTGGAGCCCTCGACGCCGGCGCTGCGTGCAGAGGCGGAGGCAGGGGCGCAGGACGGGGAGCGCGAGGCCTCGGGGCCCCTGCGGGGCCCGGGAGGAGGGGGGGGGGGAGGGAGGGGGGGAGGAGGGGGGAGGGGGGGGGGGGGGCAGGGAAGGGGGGGAGGGAGGGGGGGAGGGAGGGGGGGAGGCAGGGGGGGAGGGAGGGGGGGGGGGAGGGAGGGGGGGGAGGGAGGGGGAGGGGAAGGGGGGGGGGGAAGGGGGGGGAGGGGAGGGAGGGGGAGGGGGGGGGGGAGGCAAAGCCAGGTGCGCTGGCATCACACCTGACGTCCTACTCTTCCCTCCCATCCCCGCGGGGGCCCAGATCTGGCCGAAGTCGGCGCGCCCCCCCCCCCCGCCCCCCGAGAAAGCAGACCACGTCATCCCCTATACATCAGGCGAGTCATGCTGAAAGCTCCTTCTCACGTACACCGCCTCGGTTTTAGCTTTTCGTGGCTTTTGGCGGCCTGTGGCGTACTACCGGGGGCCTCGGTGGCCTTTTAGCGGCCTTTCACGGGCTTCAGCGGTCGTTCTCAGTCGACCTCGGCATGCCCTGTATGTCGCCGCGCCGCTTGTCCTCCACGCGCCCAAGTGGACGACGATGACACCACGGCGAACCCACGGCAAGCCCTGCAACCCGCGCCCAAGTAGAAACCTCACGGCGAGCTTACCGCGCCCACGTCGGCGTTTGCCCGGATTGCTGCGGCGCCCTCCCCAAGATGGAAGGCCGCGCGTCGGAACAAACGGCGCGGTGCCTCATTTTTAGCCTTCAATGGCCTCCAGCGTCATGCGTAACCTTTTAGCGGCCGTTAGTGGCCTTTGCGCGGCCTTGCAGCTGCCTTTCGCGACCGTCTGCGGCCTCAAAAACCGACAACAGCATCCCCTATACCCGTCGGTCGGGGGAAGTGGGTAGACACTTGAAGTAGGAAGGCGTAGAACCTAGATTGGGCTTCCGCCCGCCCCCATGAGGACGAGGGCAGAGGGAAAACCGCCCGACTCCTGAAGCAGGAAGGCGCCTAAAGTAGATTGAGGTCTGGGGATCAAGACATTCGGCGGCGATCGAGGGGGGAGGTGAGAAGGAGGAGGCCTTCTCAGAAGGCGGCGGGGCTCCTCAGAAGCCCTCGCGCCTTCTGAGAAGTGTTCTCTGCGTCTCCGCGGAAGGCTCAGCAAGCTTCTCGGAAGGCCAGGAAACTCCCGAGCCTGCTGAGAAGGCCCTCTCCATCTCACTCGCCGCCGAAACATATGTACTTTCAGCGACCGGCATGCGTTGGACATAAACTTTTGGAGGTCCGCGCGGATTTCCTGGATCTGCGCTAAGCCTGCCTGCCTGGCGCGCGGAGCGCGCCAGGGGCGGCGCCGGCGGCGCCGCCGGGGGGGACCAGCGCGGATCCAAGAAATCCGCGCGGAGCGCCGAACGCTTGCTTCTGGCCCTTGTTCTTCTTCGAATCTCACTTCCCCCCTCGCTCGCCGCCGCAAAAAAACGACTTCTTCAACGACCGGTGCGTAGGTAACTCCGATCGATCGAGGCCTCGGCCAGCACCCTACAGTCGGGGCGTTGACCTAAGGAACCCTAGATAGGGAACGAGGCCCCTGTACTCCGTAAGTTGAACTTCGACTTCCCATCGAAAGCTTGAGGGACACCTTCGGAAAGCTGCGAAACAACCAAGGAACACCGAGGCCCCCCCCAGACGAAAAGGGTTCCTTCTTCAGCGCCCCGACTGTAACCCAGACGCCGGGCGCCCGGAGGCCCTTGGCCGCGGCCCCTGTGGGCCCCCGCCTCCTTCGGCCCAACGTATAGTCCGCCTTCTGCCGGCCCCCACGGGGGGGCCCACCAGCGAGCCCCCCCCCCCCCCCCCCCCCCCACGGAGGCCGCGCGCGGCGAGCAAGCCATGACGACGACGACGACGCCGAGCGTGCCGAGGCCCGTGACGACGACGACGACGATGGCGACGGCAAGGCCAATGACGGCGCCGACGCGGAGCGCGCCGATGACGGCGGTCGTGCCCACGTGTCGGTGACGGGGCCGAGCACGGCCAGAAGCCCACCGCCCCAATTTTCGTCGGAGCCTCGGGTCACTGGGAGCATCAGGGTGAGAGGGCCGAACGATCCTTCGCCGTTCCCGAGCGTGTGGCTGAAGTGGGATTCTGCGGTACGGATTACTGTTGCGTTGAATTCCCATTATGAACAATCATTATTGTTGATCGCTGCCCTGCGGTGCAAATCTTCAATTGAAGTGCCCCTGGGCTTGCGCCTTGCTCGTTACAAGGGAAAATCTTGGAGCTCAGACTGGCCACCTGGCCCCCAAACTACTACAACAACAACGGCTCCGGCCTCATTCCTCCTCACAGTGATCTTGCACAAGGTGTCTAGAGCTCCGACCACTTTTTCTCGGCACGCACGCACGGCACTGGCACCGGCTCCTCCGCCCAGCCAGCCAAGCTCACCCTCCTCCCCCCCCTCCACCCTCCTCCCCCCGGCGAGCTGGCAATGCCCCAGCCTGCGACCGGTAGGACGCCATGCAGCAACCCATCTCGATGCTTGCAGAGGGCGGGGTCGCCAGCGACTTCCAAGTTGCAACCAACTGCGGAAGCTTGAACCAACAACGCAGTGGCCACGTTCCCATGCCCCTCCTTCCTTCAGTCCTTCTTATGCACTCCTGCTCGCTTTTAGTTTAGCGACTGCCTCTTCAACGCGACCCTCGACCATTCTCCAGGACCCAGCCGCCTCTCGGGATACCGAGGCGCCCGATGACCAGCCGCCAGAAACTGCGCCGTCGGATCGTCGGTGACTGGCGTGCAACAGGCCCAGCTCAACGCAAACCCACC